AATCGTTAATAAACAATTTTAAAAAAGCAAAAAATAAGATTTTTTGATTTTTTTTACTTTTTTGGCACAATTTTTTTTTTAGTAGAAGTAGGCAAAGAAAATTGCTGCACAAAAAAACTAGATGAGATTCCCTTCAAAATTAAGCGTTTTCAAAAGTTTTTCGACTAATATTGACCGAGTTATAACCGGTCAAACTTAAGTATTTTTTAGATTTTCGTCGTTTTTAATATAATAATTATTATAATTCTTATTATTTTTACAACAAACTGGTTCTTTACTTAATAAAAAATTATTTCAAAACTTTTATTTCTAAATAATAAATAGAGATTTTCACAATAGTCAAAAAAGTAAAAAATCAAAATATCTTACTTTTGTTTTTTTTTAATTGTTTTTTAAAGATTTTTTGCATAAGATTTTTCTTTTAAATTTTCTAAATAAGCCACTTCGAAGGGAAATTCAATTTTCATAGCAAATGTTTTACTGGACTACTAGTTTTTTAGTTTAAAAGTAATTTCTTTGTTTATATTTAATATTGTCTTATTTCGTGCCGTAATGAGTCATGCGAAACAGTTATATATTTCACTAACTGTTACATATTTCACCATTTTCGCCAATAAAACTAGAATGGAACAGTCTGGTTTTCAAGGCGACGCACCGTCTGAGCGGTGGTGATTGTACTGACAAAAAAAAATTTGTTCACTCCATCTTTTCCGGTATATACTTAAGGTGCATGTAACAGACTTTTACTTAAACTCAAACGGACAGACAAACCAGTTTGTTGCTGAACTATGATACACTCGAGACTGGTTTGTTACCTAGTTTTAGATCAAGGGAAAGTAATTTTTTAGCACACCGGACTAATTGACATAAAATTCGTCCGTGTTTTTCGATGTAGTAATTTCGTTTCAATATATTCAATTCCTCCAGTACCTGCATCACATCTTTTAATGCTGTAATAAATCAGTGTTATATAACTTGTAAAATAATAATTTAAGTGATGTTTAACATAACGCTGGGCATGTACATAGGAACGTGATAAATTTTAATAAGAATATGCTTATGTTAATGCCCCGTCATTATGGAGTGGTGTAAGAGCAGACACGAGTGACCCTATTTCTTATTTTAATTTCGTGTTGTGACAGATTAGTTCGTCGGTTGCATTAAATTTTAATGTAAAATGATGGATATGTACAGGTCCAGATCTAATGAGGTGCGGCGTAAAATTTTTGGGGCTGATTAATTGAAATATTGAGGTCAAATAGAAAAAATGAATGGGTGATTCAAAGTTTTTAAAGACAGTAAAGATTTATCGTCCAATAAAAGAATTATTTCTTCATATAGTCGCATAAATCACACAGGCACATACAAAAAAAGAAAAGTGGTCTCTTCCAAAGAATAACCTGTCTATCCTTATGTATTTTGACGCGCAAGAAAAAATGGAAAACTTTGCTTTTCAAAACTGGAGGAAGTCCAGCACAATCTTTCATTCCCTCTAGTAGATTAGCAATTTTGACTAACGCTATGACCAGAAAGTATGGTAAAATAGAACAGATTTCCTTTCAGGGTTGAAAAACATCATCCTTGATCCTTCAAATATTTTGCCTCTACCTCTCCATATCAAACTGGTTTCATGAAACAGTTCGTTAAAGCTTTGGACAAAGATGGCGACTGTTTTGGGTATTTTAGAGAGAAGTTTCCGAAAATTATGTGATGCTAAACTGAAAGAAGGTATTTTCAATAGTCCCACGGTGCAGCCGTGTTCAGATACGAAAAATTTATCTAAAAAATTAATGGTATTGAAAGAGCAGCATGACTAAGTTTCAAGTCGGTCAGGATTTCTTTGAGAATCAGACGAGTGAGGATGTCCAGAATTTTGTTGCGGAGTTGGAAAATTTCAAACTTGAAATTGGATTTCCTAGACTCTCATCTTGACTTTCCAGAGGACTTCAGAGACACCAGCGAACAAGACTATTTACTATCCAGAATATCTTCTTAGTTGTTTTTAAGTGATAAATCAAGAAGAAATTACTTGTAATCATCAACAAATGTAATACGACAGAACCGAATTATAATGTTTGCTCAGAGTAAATAAAGGATGACCACAACCTTTTGCCTTATCGAACTAAAAATTCGATTCTAGTTTAATATATTTCAAAAGTGCATCTAAAAAATAAAATCAGTGGTTATTAAATGATTGTCAAATCTATACTAGACATTTGATGTTGCAAATTTGTTGGATTTTTCAGAACGTACTGGGTATGTTCATTTTAATATTATGTACAATTTAAATACGATAAAAATGATGTTTCAATGGCAAATCCCAAAATATTTAAAAATAACATAAATATTCATTGATAATTTCAATTTATTATACATATAAAATTTGTTTCCTTCATAAAGTGTGTCAATATTAAATATACGGAGATTAAATAATTAGTGATTAATGACTCGTTTTACGCAGTGACTGTAACACACTATTATTACCAGTCAGGCAGGAATAGTGTGGTTTTTTGCAGAAAAATAAATGATTTTACCTTGGAAACACGCATTTTTGGAAAAATCCTTATCGTTGAAAGGAAATCAAGTTTTTTTTTCGAATTGTATCAGGAATAGATATTTAAACCTTAGCTTATAGCTAACTAAAAGGTTGTTATAATTTATAACACAACTAGAAAGTAACTACCGAAATAAAAATTATTAGGTATTTTGCTACAACTAAAAAAGTAAAAAAATCTCATAGCAGTAAGTTATGTCTGAAACTTACAATAATAATTATTAAAAAATGTATTTCCTGTAATTTTATTATTAATTTAATTTAATTAATTATTTAATTGTTTACATTGTTTATAAATTTATATTTTTCGTATGTATCAAATAAAAATAAAAATAGTTGATGTCTTGTTGCAATTTCGGATAAAAAATTTCATGCCTTAGTAAATAGCATTAGTAACATATTTATTAAGGTTTGTTGTACCATTAATTTGTTTGGTCCTTTTGGTATCAACTTGTTCTCTGTAACATCAGAAATTTTCATTGCTAACTTTTAAAATTCAACTAAAGCAGATGTTAAGTGGTTTTAAGTAAGACAATTGAAGATGATGAGTTGAAAAAGTTATAATAGTTACGTTACATTGAACAGAATTGTCAACAAATACCACTAAAAACCATTTGCGGTTTTCTAAATAATTCACAGGTTTATTGTGTAATAGATCTAGCGTAGTGGAGCGGTTGTCTATTTTTACTTTGTTTTATATTCACCGAGAGAGTTTTTTTTACAAATTCTGAAGAAGTACCTATTGTTATTGTTACTTCAAGATTTATCAACTTAAAATCACGGTGTTTGTTTTGTAGCTACATTATTTGAACATAAATTATACAAAACGACCTCCAGTTTATTTCTATATTCAACATAAAATAGAAATATCTATGCCATATTTACTACTTTCAATTAATTCATGAATAAATTGAATTATTATTAAGTGGGTAATCTAAAGGGTAAGGGTAGGTGGGCAATTTAAAGGGTAGCTGCTAGAAAATTGTATGAAGGTAAATTAAGCCTATATCGAAGCAATTTGGAGGAATGGTCTGAAATCGTCTCCCGGTATTTTAAGGACTGCTGGCACAAAAAAGATAATTTTTTATGGTATAATTATCTTAAATCTAAAATGTTTTAAAGTTTAGAATATGAAGAAGATATCTCGAGAGGCTTTTAAGGTATCTGTCTTGTACATATAAAAATATTCATCTTAAAAATGTCGAGAGACAATTTAGTAGTACCCAGTATAAATGAAAGCCTTAGTAAAAAAAACGCTGAGGATTAAATAAATATAAATAGAGAATTTAATAAAAATTAAGCCCTCGAGAAATTAGGTGGAGAAAATTCCGAACATAATTCACGTTTTATTTTTAAATAAACTATAATAACGTTAATATATTGACTTATTTCACTTTTCACTTTGCAACAATAATTTATTAACTAGTAAAATATAGGCAATGCTGGTCTTATGCTTGCAGAAATGTATGTGCTTGATATATAGCAAAATATATAAATATGACCTTAGTTCACCGGTGATGAATATGTTAAAAGCCATCTTTTTATTTTGCTATAATACTAAACATAAATTTAGTTAATATTATTACTATTCTTATTCGTAAATATTACGGTGGCTTTGAAAGTTGTAACGTCTGTTAATTGATGAGGATTATAAATTATATCTCATATGAAACGTTTTTAAGGAAATAAATTAATGCAAATTCTAGTTGTACTGCTTATGAAAGTTTTCTCAACAGTGTTAAGTAAGTAAGACCATTTTTGCAAGCTATTGTAATTTACGGACATTAGAATTGTACTAAATTTCCTGATGGATGTATACAGGATGTCCCAAAGCAAATGGGCTATTATACTTCTACTGTAACACCATTCAACTAAAATAAATTTACTTTCATATGATGTTATGTAATTGTTTTCAGACTTTTAACAGTGATCTTTACAAAAAAAAATCAAGAGCACAAAAATATGTTTTGTCGCAATGTCAGTATCAGTTTAAGGTACATCCTGTACCTATATAGGTATCGGTTGGAAACACTGCTAGGACGCTATAGCGGTATTGTTTTAAGATTCCCGCTTTCACTTCCATTGTGCCAAGTTCATTCAGAAAATGTATATTTTACTTTCTTCTTCCTGCAAGCGGGCAGTTTGAGATAAGATCTAGGGACAAGAGTACTTTCATTTATTCAAGTGCCTGAAGCCATACAACAATTAGCACGACAAGAAGCATACCATATAAAGACAAAACTAATATACAGTGTGTACCGTAATTAAATAGACAACATGCCTTAGCAAAATGGTACTCGTTTTTATTTTTTCAAACTTTAACACCTCGAAAACTATAGATTTCATTTTTCTGTAACCTTTTCAGTTAAAAGCCTTGAAAGAATCACCCTTTAAGGTTCGTCGACGTACTTTTAACAGTAGTATATAACACTTATTTTGGTTTTAGACGGTCTGGAACAAAAGTCAAGGATAAAAAGGCCCAGGGCGCCTCCACCAGAACCAGAGAATGACGTCGAGACGGACTTCGATGAACGGAATAATCCTCTCAACGCAAACTACGTACCACCCGGATTTTTGAGTCCGTCTGTGATCGAATATTTGGAACTGGGAAAATCGATACCAGGTAAAAATCTAACGAGCGTTCAAACAAAAACGTGGTCGAAGTTGGCTCTGACACATTGGACGTAGGGAGTAGCTTATAGCGACCAACTTAACCTGATTTCTCAACTAGCTGTATAGCAGCTGTCAGTTTCAATAACGTTAATGACTATATAACTTTATTTTAAAGAATAATCGTGATAACAATAACAAACAATTAAAGGAGCTGCGGAAAGTGTCCCCCTCCTTGTTATAACAATAAATTAAAGCAGCTGCTGAAAGTGTTAATTTCACGAATCTTGTCTATAAGTCGAGCCTGCAGATGGTTTAAATCAGGAATAGGCAGTTCAAAAATAGTGTTTTTAAGGTAAGGCCACAAAAAGAAATCACACGGCGTAATATCACATGACCTCGGTGGAAATACATGTACAGCATTGATTGCGCCATCTTGTTGAAAGTAAAAGTTTGTAATTTCGTTTTCTTCCAGCTGGTTAACAAAAGGAGCGATAATTTCTTCTCTATACCTTTGCGCAGTAAGAGTACCATTAAAAAAAATAGGTCCATAAATCCTCCTTCGATCGAGAGCACACCAAACTCCAATTTTTTGAGCGTGTAGAGGGCCCTCGACAAAAAAGTTATCTGGTTTTTCAGAAGACCACATTCTCATGTTCTGTGAGTTTACGTAACCACTTAAATGAAACCAGGCTTCATCAGAAAAAAAGGTGATATTATGAAGTTCACCGTAGTCGTTTAAAAACCATTCACGAAATACAGCCCGTCGCGGAAAATCAACTTCATGAAGTTCTTGCTGACAAATTAAACGATAGGAGAACAAACGCAAATCTTTTTTTAACACTGTGTGGCAGGTACCTACTGATACTCCCACGATTTGTGATAAAACACGTACAGAAGTTCTTGGTGCATTTTCCATTATTTGTTGGACATTTTCTTTTAATTCTTCAGTCCGCTTTTTAGGTCGGCCGCTTCCTTCTTTTCTTGTTACACTGCCCGTTTCACGAAAAACATTAACACAACGCTGAACTGCACTTTGAAAAATTTTGTACTCAACAACGCCGGGAAATTGATTTTGAAATTCTATGAAACATTCCTCAATAGAATACTTCCATATTCCATCAATCTTGCGTCCATTTCTAAAGTAGGACTCTATTATAAACACTTTTTGTTCTTAAGAAAACACCATTTTAAACGCTTCTTAAAACGAAAATATTCAAATTGATAGCGGCGATATAGCGCTTTGACAGATGACGTTTAAGTTCATTTGCTATACGCTACGCCCTACGTCCAAATTTTCAGAACCAACTTGACCACGTTTTTATTTGAACGCTCGTTATAATTAGTTGTAATCATTCACTTTTCGTTTCTTCCGAATTAATAAGCAATGCGATTGAAAAAAGAACATTTATAGAAAACATTTTTTTTTAAATTCGTAATTTTTTTTTAATAAGGGCTAGAGAAAAAGAAAAAAAGGATTTTGAAGTTCAGAGTCTATATTTAAAAAAAATACCCCTTATTGATAAAATGATATTATCGGTTTTATCCGGTATCTCTAATATAGACATTTTTTTAAGTTGTGAATTTTGGGTCTTTCATATTATGAGTAACAAGGGAGTTATTTTACTTTCTCACACTAATGGCCCACCCTGTATAATTTTTAAACAAACTGTAAAGAGGCATATATTTGGGAATTGTACAACAAAGTCTTACAAGAATTAAAAATTCTTACGCAAATGTTTGTCTAAAATTTGGCGTTTATAGCTGGATTTGTAAAAACAAAATTCTTCACATTATTCTGGAAATATTTTATTAGGTACTATACTGAATTACTAGAGTTGTATTCATATTTATAATTAATTTTATATACAGCTTTTTTGTCATTTAATATATTTGATTTCCATTTAAGGAACCGTCAATTTTTATAAATAATTTATTACCGTTGTTTGAATGTCAATGTTTCGGGAACTAATTTGCAATTGGCAGCTGCGATTTTTTTCTTACAATGCAAATTTGTTTAAACATTTTCCACAATTTGGACATCTACCTTTAAAATGCAACAGAAAATCGGCTTAAGAACAAATATAAAAATTGTTTATATACATTATAATGTATGATTCTACAAATAGTTTCCCTATTAACGAAAAATGTAAAATTATATTTTAAATTTAGCCTCGTCCATACCATTAGCGTTCGTTATATGCAAAATATAAGTCGTCGTATACGTATCATATTTCAAATGGGTTCATATTTCACGTCGAAGAGAAAGTTGATAATATACTGTTAGGCTTCGCTTACACTATCACTTTTATTGTCCGGAGAAAATTTAAAGTATAATAATGAATCATGTACACAATCCTGCAAATTTTTGCTGTTTATAAATCATTGAAGTCAGTGAAAGCGCATTTAGTAAAACTACGAGGTGTGTACAAATAACCGAATTTTTTTAATTACGTGCTAATCTCCAGATCCCAAGAAAGCACGTCAGTCTCGATCCAATGTCGAAGTGATGCCCACTGTTCCTTTTTTCGAATTTAAAAGGATTGTGCATTTTGAATTGTTGCCTTAAGGTGAAATAGTGAACTGTTTTCCTGTATAAACACTTTATTCAAGCAAAATGATAAGCAGGGTGAAATATTATACAAAATACCCTTTACATTTAAGCGTAAGGTTTATTTATACTCTGTTATTTGTGAAACATAAATCAGAGCTACTATTATAATTGAAGAGTTGGTTTCTTACTTCCTTCACTTACTGAAAAATTTGTAATAGAAACACTGTGATGTATCACCAGTAAGACAGTAGATATTATTAATTTTTTAATTAGATTTTTCATTTTCTCTGACGAATTTTAGGTTTTGATATTTTCGAATGGTTGCGAGAAAGTCTCGTAGTATAGGGCAAGCTTTAGGTATGTGTAAAATATAGATGAACAGCGTTCGATTAAGTCTACGGCATTAGCATATTCCCATATTGCATAAAAATGAATAATAAACAAATGCGTAGCCGGTGATTAACATGGTATATTTAAGTTACGCAATAGTGGCAATGAAAAAAAAAATGCCGCGCCGCATAACTAATTATTACAGAAGTGTAAAGGAGTATAGTGGAAAATAAAGCGGCATTAACATCGCATTGATTTCTGAATGTTTCACGGTAACAGTTACGCCGGTCTTCATACCATCTGCTACAATTATTTATAACTAAATAAATTTAAATCAGTTACACAAGAACTTTAGTTTTTCTTGATGGAAGATTACATTGTAAGGTAATCCGAAATTTGTCCTTTATAGAACAAATAATTAATTACTGCTTAAAATTTGTGAGTTTCGAAAAGTGTTAAATATTAACACAGGTTAAATTTTTACGAACTTATTTATAAATGATAAAATAAATAAAATAAAAACCACTTGAAAACATTGGTGCAAACAATGCATAGTGTAAAAAAACTAAATATTTTCATGACTACGAATCGAATATGTTTTAACCAAATTTATGTAAATGAAATTAGTTAAAAATTTAAAGATATTATTATCCTCTGGCCCTGCATTGTCGCAAAAAGGGGTCACGGCTTTTTTTAACAGCGACACAATGTAACACAAAATTGTGGGATTGATTACCTTACGTCGGCTTCAAAAAAGCTTAAAAGTTTATCGTGACTTAAATGCCTGTATAAGTTATTAACTTAGAAAATTACAACTTAAAATAAAAGAAGTGTCATTTACATGATGCTTCAACACCACAGTTTAAGTTGCTGTCTTGTAAATCCTCAAAATAATGTTGCGCAAGCTACTACAAAATTTTTTCAGTTCTTGTATGTTCTGGTATTTTTTCAGAGCAATCGCAATGGATTGTTTCTATTTCAAACTAGGCATTACAAATTGACCTTCAGGAAGAATTACAAAAATGTCTTGTTTCCGTTTTGGTGGTACTACTACTGAGTACTGACATAGACATAGGTCCATTATATTATGTCTCTCGATACTGCATCATTCTTGGCATGTCTTCATTTTCTTTTAATTTATCTACTTTCAAATGGACGTTTTTTAACAAAGTAATTTGATAAATGATCATTCCAGGCTCGGAAAAATTTATAATTCTCACAATTAATGACTATGATTGGATTGGGTTTGTTCCTTGCATTTTGGATCTCTGCATTCCATTCTGATGGCGTTTTAATTGATAAGTCCCATATTGCGATCACATTCTAAATAACTATCACCGTTTGTATAGGCGTTCGATCGATAAACTAAATCTAACAGGAGCAACATCAGAACACGTGCTAGTTACAAGTTGGATACATTACATACATTACATTACATTTTGCAACATTAAGAAAAACACATTATGAACATCATACTGATTTCTGCATACCTTATTAAAGTAATGAGAAATCTGAGTAAACTAATAATTTAGAAGATGCTAGGACAATTCATGGGAAAGATGGAATTTGCAATTTTTACAACCCATTCTTCACATGTTACAAGAACAATTACAACCAACAGCAGTTTATTGGTACCTTCACACATCATTTGATTTTCTTTAGAAAGTTGTTGAGATATAAACTGGTTAATTGTTCTTGCCAACAAAACGTCTATTAAAGTACTTTTATCTCTTTGTAATATTGATGGGTTTCGGAAAAACATTAATTTGATGTAACTTTCCCAGGGGTACCGCAGAATGTAATGAGAATCTTGGAAATGGAAACAATAGTTTAGAATTGTGACGGCGTCAGTAACTGTTTGAAACTTAGTGTTTGACTTAGACCAAACAAATGCCTGTTTCAAAAATCGGGCGTAACTTGAATTTTATGGGCTTAAAATTAAGTAAAAAGTACACAGAATAAAAGCCTAAATTTGTGTATTTGTAGAAGTCGAGCATCATATTGTTTATAACAAAAGAAAAAAAATTGCTCTTTCTTCAGTTTTTCGCATATATCTCCGCCTCTAATAGACATGCGGTATACTTATCGATTTTGTTCCTGAGGAAATTTGCTGCAAGGATAGGCTTTTG